AGATAATGTACTGCGAGATAAAAGGTGTGACTGAACTGTCTCAAAAAAAAAAAAAAAAAAAAAAAAAAAAAAAAAAAAAGAATGAATCCAGACACCTACTTCACAGCATATACAACATTTAACTCAAAATGTATAAAATACCTAAATGTAAGAACTAAAACTATAAAACGCCTGACAGGAAACACAGGTGTAAATCTTTATGACACTGGATTAGGCAACAGTGCCTTGTACACAAGCGCTCACAGCAGTTTATGCACAATATCCTGAAAGCAGAAGCAGGCCTCCTGTCCATCAGCTGCTGACTGAATGCACAGAACAAGTTCTCCAGCTGAGCATTATCGGACCTGAAGAGGAACGAGGAAGGGGTACGTGGGGGCTGCAGCACGGGTGGCCTCTGACAGCACGGTACTCAGGAAGTGCGCTGACAGGAGATGTGCGCCCAGGAAACCAGACCAGGGCCCAGCTGCCGCTGGGCTGGGTTTCTGTGGAGTGATGCAACTGTTCCAACCCGACAGTGGTATCTGCTGCACAACCTCATGAACAAAGGAAGGGGTCACCGAGTCCTCAGGGTGAATTTTATGGCGAATGAATCAGCACCGTTTGTCTCTGCGGTGCTGAGGACAGACCCAGGGACTCGTTCCTGCCAGGCAAGGGCTCCCCCTCCCCATGAGCCCTACGCCGAGCCCACTTCCGCACTTCTCTGCCTCCTTCCTTCCTTAGGACAGACTCTCGGGCCAGGAGTCACCTGCAGGACAGCGTGCTTTTGCTGTCACCGCACAGCTGTGGTGCTGCACGATCAGTGACAAGCATCCTCTCTGCGGAGATGGCCTGGCATGCCGGTGACGAGCTGTGTGTGGGTCACGGTTCCTTATGTATGACCTCAGGGGAACAGCACTTCACAACCCACAGGACACTGCGGCCCCCATCATTCCATGGGCCTTCTTGCAACCCACAGAGGAGGGACCTCCAGGCCAGACTTGCTTGTTTTTCTGAAACAGTCTCGCTGTGCTGCCTAGACTGGCCTCCAACTTCTGGGCTCGAGAGATACTCCTGCCTCAGCCTTAGAGTAGCTGGGACTGTGGCTGTGTGAGCATGGCGATTTGCATGTCTGACAGTGCCCCACGGTCAGCCCGCGCCTGTGTCCCCGCACCTCTACATCCCCATCCTCATCCCCAGAGTGGACAGGCAGGGGCACAGGCATCCCCCTAACTCCAGATGTCCCTCGTGTCTCCACTGCAGGGGCCTCTTAGGCCTCCGCGCCTCCACGTGGGGCAGCTTCACGGCTCCAACAAGGCCAGAGCAGGGGACGAGCAGGAATGTAAGCAAAGGCTCTCATTACACCAGATTCCAACAGAACGCCCGGCACAGGAACCAAAGCCACAGCTCTGCTGAGGCACCTGAGCAGCACCTGAAATCAGACCTCTGCCTGTGTGCTGCGGGGCGGCTAACTGGAAGCCAACAGGGGCAGTGGAGGTGCAGACAGGAAACACGCTCGCTCACACCTGGAGAGGTGCATGAAACACTGACCACACATAGCTCCGTCACAGCATACAGGACTTTTACCTTCCTTACACCTCTGCATGTTGTGTGGGTTTTCTCTTCTGGATGTTTTTTTTTTTTTTTTTGAGTTCCCTATAGAACCTACGCTGACCTCCAACACCTGAGCCTCCTGCCTCAGCCTCCCAGCATTTTGGGGTTACAGACACATGCCATCAGTCCCTCTGGTATTGTCTGATTTGGAAAAAATAAGGTTTTCTTTGTAGAAGTCAAATATAAATATTTTTGCTTTCAGATGGAAAAACTCACGTATGTACTCAGATAACCCTTAATAATTGGTTCAGCAAGAAACTTCACAGACACCAGGCCCCGAGCCTAGGAGCCAGTGAGTGCAGTGGCCTGCACAGGGCGCCTGAGGGGTGTCTGCAGGCCCTGGCCAGGGACCGCACCCCGCTGCTGGCCTCACCGGGAGCAAGTCTCTCCATGGAACAGTGCCTACCTGGACAGGCGGCTCGATGGTGATCCAGGCTGGGAGCATCAGGCTGGGATTCAGAGGCTGGGTTCCGACCCGGAAGTAAACTCCACCCCTGGAGTCACAGGCCCAGATGTGCTGGTTTCCACAAGCCAAGCTAGTCAGTTTTACAGCTCCTACAGACAAATAGGTACCTATGCTGTAATTATGTTTGTAAAGTGACTAACCTTTCATTTAATCTGTGAACTTTGATTTTATACTTCAAAGGAACAGGGGAGCCTGCGATTGCAGCTGAACGCTGCCGTGCGCCTTCTGAGGTGCGGCTGTCAGTCCACACAGGTGTGCACCTGGCCAGGTTTGAGAGCATGCAGTGCAGGGAGTCGTGAAGGTCTCTAGCTGCTCTGCCACCTGCCCGGCGCCACATGGCGCCTCCTAGACTGCAGGCAAAGTAGTCACCAGTGCCTGGGGCCATCAGGCAGGGCGAGTGTCTCGGCCTGGGGCCCACATCGGCTCCACCTGACAGGTAACTGCTGTAAGGGCTGGACTTGAGCCCAATGAGAATTAAGATGAGCTAAGAATCATTTTCTTATTTTTTCTTCGTTAATTAATCATAAGATGAAAAGATATGGGAGGAGCCTTCAAAGAGGAGAAATTAAAGCCTGGCAGGCAGCTCAGTGCCACAGTGCTTGGGAGTGTACACAAGCCCTGGGTCCCATCCCCAACAAGCCCCATGCCAAAAGAAAAGAAAAGAAGTTACACTGGATAACAACAGCCTGCCTGCCAAAGCACAGCAGGCAATAGTGCTTGAACAGCCTTGATCTTGGCAGGACAAGCTCCCGGTACCTTCCTCACCCTCCTAAACCCACACGGCGACACTCGCTTCTTCTCTACTGCCCAGTCCCAGTGGCAGTGGGCCCAGCCCGGAGGCCAAGGCTGGATGTCAGGTTTGAACCTGGGTCAGCCTGGATCCTCTGACCAGCGAGGGCGACAGACAGCAACACGCACAGTCAGGGTTCAGGTCCAGTTGGCTTTAGTGGCTTGATCTCCCTGAGCAACTCACCCTGCCAAGATCAACTCATCACCCCGGAGAGTTCCCTCAGTGCCCGCTGCCCTGAGCTGACACTGACTCCCGGCAGCAGAGGGAGCGCAGGTCGTCCCACGGGTTTGCCCAGTGGGACGGGAGCGTGAGAGTCCCTTTGGTGGCTGAGCACGCCGCTGCACGGAAATACCACGTGCAGTGCCTCCGGCCTCTGCTGAAGGACATGGCGCTCTTCTCACTTTCTGCTCTCAGAAGTGAAGCTGCTGTGGGAATTCCTGACACAGGATTCTTGGTGAACATGCAGAGTGCTGGGCCGGGTGCAAAGCAACTGCCTGACCTGGTGGCACCCCGCCTGCCCACGCCTCAGTGTGAAGGTCCTGGGTTCAATCCCTAGGGCCATGAAGAAAGGGGAGGAGGGAGGAAGGGTGTTTACCTGCATATTTTCTCCTGTGTACTCTTTTATTTTCTAGTACTGGCGACTGAATGAGGGTCTCTCTACCACTGAGCTACAACACCAACCCTTTCAATTTTTATTTTTTATTTCCAGGCACGGCTTTGCTAAGTTGCCTGGGTTGGCCTTGAACCTGCAATCCTCCTGCCTCAGCCTCCCAAGTAGCTGGAGTAATATGTGTGCACCACCATGTCTGGCTTCCTCTGTACTTTAAGTAACTCTGGATTATTTAGCATAATGTTCAGTGTAATATAATTACTATGTAACAGCTGTACTATTTAGGGAATAATAAATCTGTACATACATTTCAGTACAAAAAATTATTTTCTTGTCAGTATTTTTGGTCTGTAGTTGGTTGACTCCCTAGGTGGGGAACCCACGGATGCCAAGGGGCCCCTGGAAAACTCTTGCACAGCAGTGAAGTAGCAGGCAGTTTCAGGGGCGCTTTTCAGAAGTTCTCCCTAAGCATTGCAGGCATGCTCACAGGAATGTGCAGCAGGCCTGCTGCTCCCCAGGCCCTCTGTGCCCCTTGGGGCCTTCTCAGCTCCTCCCTCCTGCAGCCCAAGCTGGTGGTGCTGCCCACCCTGTGTGTTCCCAAGTTTCAGTGGCTAGGACACAACACCCGAGAAGAGCTGCTTACAGAAGGAAAGGTTATTTCGGTCCCTGGTTTCAGGCCATGATGAGCTGGCTCCAGGCTGACCAGGCTGAGGCAAGGTAGGAACATCATGGTGGGAGGGGGAAGGGTGGAGGGTGCAGCACAGGGTGGAGGAAAGCTGCTCACCTTGTGGCAGCCAGGAAGCACAGAGGGTGCCAGAGAGCCCAAGAGGAAGTGGCCAGGGCTCAGACGTGGTCCTCAAAGCCCCACCCCAGTGCCCTGCCCCATCCAGCAAACCTAAGTTTCCATCTCCCCCAGTAACGCCATCACATGACGAATCCACCAACGGATCCACCCACTGGTGACATGAGAGCCCTCCTGGGTCAATCAGGAGCCCACCTCTGGACGCTGCTGTGCTGGGGACCCAGCCTTCAACCCCAAGAGGCTGTGCGAGGCCTTCTGGATCGCACCCACAGAGCCCTGGAAGATGATACGCCTGTCTGTGGGAGGCCGCCAATGTGCCTGGCTTGTCACTCAAGTGTGACCCCACAGAATGACAGGAATGCTGACATTTCCCTACCTCTGCTTGGTTTTTGTTTTTCCTATTAAAAATTTTTAAATTACTTTATTCAGCAAAGCAGACACTTCCCCTTTATGATTACTTTTTAAGTATCTATTTTGGAACAAAAGGTGGCATTTACTTGGTGTTTTATTTACAAAATATCATTCTACATAAATTACTGTACAAGCCTATTTGTTACCTAAAGGATAAACTGACACTGAGTATATTTTCCTTATACACTGTGATAAGATGAATTAAATTCTAAATGACACCAGTCTGCTAAACAGTCCAGTGGCTGACATGATGCATAATAAAATGTCACGAGGGTCTTAAATATCTGCTAAATGAGGTACATTTTCTACCAAAAGCTGGGGCTATCATCACTGCAAAACTCCATGTGCGATCTTTACCACAGAGTTCAGTGGCCAGCCATCTAATTTAAGCATTCTCTCAAGTTGAGTTAAAGGAAACGTTTGACTTGGTTATTTGCAGAGAACACTGTCCCGGCCACCACCAGCCACAGGCTCGCTTGGTCAGCCATAGTCAGCGATAGGGCTGGATGGGAAATGCTCTCAGAAGATGAGGAAGGACCAATGGGTGGGCGTGAGGCCTGAGGCAGAAACGAGGAGTCACCCTGGAAACGCCACTGTGCACAGGGTTCACACCGTGAACCCTGCAGGGGCCAGCAGGTGGGTGTGCTGCAGGCCCTCTCCCCGCAGCGGACGGCAAGGACGCTGCTACCTGCCAAGTGGCTCAGCCCTGCCAGCTTGGCCTAGGCTGCTTCCAGCAGCGCCTATGTTATAGGGGATGGACACCGACACAGGAGGGCTGGGGACAGTGGATCAGCCAGCCCTTCCTCTCTTCTTACACATTAAGTGCTTGTCCAATTCAAGCCCATGAAATACTGGTTGTGTTTTTTGTTGTTTTGGTTTTTTTTGAGACAGGGTCTCACTATGTAGTCCAGACTGGCCTTGAACTTACTATGTAGCCCAGGCTATCCTTGAACTGGCAGCAATCCCCCTGCCTCAGCCTCCGGAGTGCTGGGACTACAGGAGTGCAGCACCATGCCCAGCTTGGTTGTCAGTATATCACATGGGAAAATCTGTCAGAACTAGTGCAAGTTCAAGGCTCACCTGACCCTAGGAGCTGCCTGCTTTGGTCCCTGGCTTTAGACAAACCGCACGTGAGCTCCATGTCCACCGAGGGTTTACTCAGAGAATAACCCCATGTTGTGCAATGAATGCATCACCTCTCTGAGAATGAGTGAATTACTCACAGATGGGACTGTACTCCTTAGTCTGCACTCTCTGGGGGAGAAGGGGAGGCAGGCAGTCAGCAGCAGCAGGCTGCCTGGCTGAGCAGGAGCCCAGAGCAGGAGCCCACAGCCCAAGTGTCAGTGGCTCCCTGCACTGGGCATGGGGCATAGGGTGCTAAGCCAGTCTGGAGCCCACCTGAGTTTTCAGATTTAAGGGTCACAGGGCTCTGTCCCACACTCGGACGGGGGCAGCGGCACCAGCAGTGCTATTCTAAGCAGCTCCTCTTGGCAACTCCTGGAGACACCGCAGACACTTTGTGTCCTGAAAATCCTGCAGACCCTAAGGGGTCCAAAGGCGGCTCCTTACAAGAGCAGGAGGTGCATTTAGCCCAGAAGAGCAGCCACTTGGCTTCCTGAAATGCAACAGCTGTTGTCATGCCCACAGGACTCACCCAAAGCAGCCCGGGGCGGCCGGGAACCACACCTGAGGGCCTACCTAGCTGTGAGAGGTCCAGCTTTGTCCAGTGCATGCCGGTGGGGCAGCTCTTGGAGAGCGTGCGGATGAACACCTGTCCGAGGCTGTCCAGGGCCCACAGTGCATCCTGGCAGGCAGCGTAGGCACACATCTCCGCGTCGGGCGGCAGCTGCACCGTGGACGGCCGGCACTGCACACACTGGGCACTGATGCTGCACAGGTCCTTGCTGCTCTGACACAGCCACAAGGAGCTCCCTGTGGGAGAGGCACACGTTAGGCACAGCACATTGTCCACATCAAGCGGAGCAGCCTGTCTTCAAGCAGATACCTCACACCCGCCTCTGACACCAGCTGCCCCTCACGCGTCCCCTCATGGTACACCATGGCCTGCCAGTTAGCAAGACCAAGCCGAGGCCCATGAAAGAAACAGCAGGAGGGCCTGGTGATGTTGTGGAGGCCACAGCACTGCCTTGTGGCTCAGCCTCCCACCGATGTCAGGCTGGGAGTCTTAAGGCGCGGGGCCGTTTGTACAGAACTTCACGGGGGGAAAGGACTGCTAATCTGTCCCTGGGGGAAGATGGTCAGCCGCACCTTCGAGGTCACACAGGGCACCCCCGGCTGGGGGCTGCTGGACAAGGCCTGAGCGTCCCACCCCCGCCTTGGTGTCCTGCCTCCCTGTCCCTTCGCCACTGCAGGCGAGCCTAAGGGTTGGAAGAGTACTAAAAAAGCAAATAATCCTTGGGAAATTACCCTGGTTATATAGTTCATAATCCAAGATATTCTGTGAAAGTCCCAGCCAGATATGTTTTGGAACGTAGACTTTTGTACATTGAAGGTCTGCCACCTGTTTACATGACAGCCTTGGTGAGGCAGAGAGATGCCTGCAGCACCCTGGCCGTCCGCACCCAGGAGGGTACAGAGGTCTCCTGTCACTGTGGGGAGGGGGCACTGCCACAGGGACCTGGGTCAATCTCAGGAAACACCCAAGTCCAGAGATTTCTGGCAGAACTGCGGTCAGCACAAGCTGGTGGGGAGGCGTGCACAGAAATGACCACATCCCCAAATGCTAGGATCGCAGCTGAACAAAGCAAGTGGCTTCCTCTCCACCCCAGACTTCCCGGGAGCGGATTGCTAACCTCCACTCTGGGCAGAGGTTCTGGCCCCTTCCCAGCTGGGCCACTTGACTTCCCGAATCCCAGCTAGCAGGGTGGCCTTGCTGCCTCTCCTGGCTGCAAAGCTCCATGTCCTGAAGGACTGTGGGCTCTGCACAGGGGACAGTGGGGACTCAGGTGAGCCAGAGGCTGAGGGTTCTGCAGGGCAAATGCAAGGGCACCAAGAAGCTATGGCCCCTGCCACTGCCACTGGAGGTTACGGCAGCTGGCACAGCCCTTTCCTTCAGGACGCCCTAACACCCCAGCTCCCGTCCGTCCACTGCAGTGGCTCAGCCCCAGCGCACCTGGCCAGGATACCATGGGCCTCGTGCCCTTGGCAGAGGGCTGTGCTGCTGGGCCCCAGCACCCAGCAGGCCACAGGCAGAGCACAGTCTGAGTGTTCAGCTCTATCCAATGAGCTCAGACCAACCTTCCTTGGTGGGAGATGCAGAAGCCAGCACGAAGGCCCATTTTGTCGCGGATGCTGTGCCCCGGGGAACCACGTTATTCCAGTACGTGCCTGGAGAGAGTGAAGAGCGGGTGTGGGAGAGGGAAGAAAACAAGAAAACCCTTCAGAGTTTCGCTCTGGACCACAGCTGGCCTTGGGAACCGCTGATGGCGGGCCCAGTGTCCCTCGGTCAGCACCGCGAGCCCGTGCAGCCGGCCACCCACAGCTGCAGGCACCACCGGCAGAGGCTGCACAGGGCAGGAGGTGGCTGCAGAACTCCAAAGCCAGGGTTCCCTCACAGAACCAAACCCTGGCTCACTCGGGAGTGGTGGGTTGGAAGGGAAATGGACCTTCCCAAGAATGACCACAAGGCACAGAGTTCCCCCACCAGAGCTTCACCCACCAGCACTACACGATCTTTCAGCCAAGATCGCAAAAGCTTTCCTTTGAATGGTGCATGAGGCCCTGGGTTTGATCCCACACACTGCAAAAACTAAAATAAAATAAGAAGCTGGAGCTGTCCACGAAGCGCGGTGAAGAGAAAAACCTTTGCCCACCTATGAGGCTTCCCTTGGCGACGTGGAACTCGTTCTTGCCCGAGGATATCCAGACACCGCTGCTGTTGACCCCCAGCAGGCTGGGCTGGCACTGAAGCTGCTGGGACCAGAAGGCCATGCGCAGCTTATCTGCCACCTTCTCCACGGGCGCTTGGGCCACCGTGGCCACTGAGTGTGTGGCATGGATGATGGTCTGGAATAAGCTGCACTGGTCAAACACCACATAGTCTGTGATGCTCACCTGCAGGGAGCAGATTTGTGGAAGCCACGGTCAGCACAGTGGTGAAGGCGCTGCCCTGCCCACAGCCCTGGGTCACTGGCGACAGGGCACCCGCACCACCCCGGCTGAGGACTGGAGTGACCAGAGGACACACCAGGGCCAGCACCATCACTTCCACGATGTTACTGTTTCACCCCTGCACTTTATGCTGCGTGGGTCGATAACAAGGAGCACGTACAATTTTTGCGACTAAACAAATTTTGCGACTAAACCCACAAGCTCTACTAAAAAACCCTTTATTCTAACCTTTTCTCATGGTGGTTTCGAGCTCACTATGTAGCGGTTGGCCTTGAACTCGCATGGAACCTCCTGCCTCAGCCTCCCGGGTGCGGGGATTACAAGCGTGTGCCACCACACCCAGCTTAAGGCTTTTTAAGCACACAGAGATGGGGAAACTTTGATTGTGGGCTGGACTGGCAAACCTACGTCTGTCTAGTCTCTTCTCAGCACACTGTTCAGAACGCAGCATCGCTATTGCTCAGGTCTTCTAACAGACGCACTGGGTTTACCCAGCTTGCAATGATACGCATCTAAACACCACCAAAGGAAACACAGAAAGTCAGTCCGCACAATTCAAGCAAAGAAATCTTTGCAAGTTCTTTACTATGAAAAGTCCTAAGTGTTTTCAATGGAGCAAAACTCAGGAAGTCTAACCTCACGTGGTGAATGTGAACACTGCTGAGAGCGTGTCTTGAAGGAGACAGAGGGAAAGGAGGACAGTGACCCTGCAGCAGAGCCAGCACTACCTGCCACCAGTGGTCGTCGTCCCCTTGGGGCTTCTTGGGCACCACACCGGTCCTGAACCACAGCTTCCCACGGATGTCCAGCGCCCAGAGGGTGTGCTGGTCCCCGAGGGTGATACAGACAGGCTCCAGCGCTTGCTTTTCGCTGGAAAAAGCAGAAGAGCATGGTGTTAGCCCCCACGTTGCCTGCCAGTGCCGCCAGGTGGCCTGGCCAGAGGGAGTACACCTGTGGCTGCTCAGGACTGGGCTGGCAAATGCCGAGGAGGAGGTGTGACCTCCAGCACACTGCCAGGCAGCACAGGTGATCCAGCTGTGTGAAAGACACGGTGAGGCCCAGGATGGCGAGGCGGCTCCTGACACAGGAGGAGGAGCTGAAAGCATCCAGGCCCACAGTGCACCCATCGCTTCACTGCCTCCTTCCCCAAGAACCGACCGCAAACTCCCTGCGAGCCAGGATGTGCATGCAGCTGTCCCTGGTAGGCTGCCTTGCTGCTTGTATGTCCTGCTCCCTTTGAATTTTGATACATGGATCACTAAGTTGCCAAGGCTGGGCTTGAGCTCACGATCTTCCTGCCTTAACCTCCCAGTGCTGCCACGCACCACTACCTGTTTTTTTTTTTTTTTTTTATCAGGAATTGAACTCAGGACCTTGCACTCGCCAGGCAGGTGCTTGTGCCGCTGAGCTATATCCCTGGCCTGCGCCACTACCTCTGGCTAAGGACTAAATCTTAAATGGTAAAAAGTAAACTAGTGAGTTACCATTCAGACACCAATTTCAAGTGAGCAGGGCGAGTGCACAAAAAAGTACTTGGACCCAACCCATCAGCCTGGACAGAAACAAGTGACGACAACAGCTCTGAACGGAGACCGCTGCGAGATGGGCGACCGCAGTGGCGCCCCGGTGTGCAGGCTGCTGGCAGAGGGGGCCCAGTGTCCCCAGGCCCAGGCTCCGGAAGTCGGCGGGGTCAACCCCAGCTCTCCTCCCAGGGCACCTCCGCACGCTGCTTGACCCGAGAACTCGGCGGGCCTGGCACGGAGTCGAGGTAGCCATAAGTGGACGGTGACAGGCCGGGGCTGGCGTACCTGATGATGTCACACTTCCACTGCTCCCCCTCAGGGCAGAAGCTGCTCACGCCCTCGCGGTACAGCAGGGCCCTCTGCTCTGTCAGCGCCCACACCACGCAGTTCCGGGCGGCGATCTGGGACAGCGGGTAGGGACAGTCGACCCTCACTGCGCGGGCGCAGGGGCGATCCACACTGAGGCCTGCAGCAAGGGAGGAGCCCGAGACCATTAGCTCCTCCTCCTGTTCTGGCACCTGTGTCCGTGGCTGTGTGCATGTGCATGTGTGTGGTGTGCACATATGTGTGTGTGTGTGCTTGCGCATGTGTACAATTATGTTCCTTCTCAACAAGTGCTTTTTTAAGGTTTAGCCAACACAGAAAGGTTAAACTCTGCCTCATTTTCAGACAGCCTGGACCCCAAAGAAGCACATGCAGATCCTCCAGTGCCCTCGGAACTTGGAGGCTCGAAGGGCAGACGAGGAAGCCTGGGGCAGGAGCGCAGCAGCCCAGCGAGGCTCACATGACCGCCTTCTGCCAGGAAGGCTGCCTGCTGGGCCTGGGGCACACGGGGACCCCAGCTGCCTGGGAGCACCCCTGCCTGCATTTGCCATGATCAGGTTCCACTGTGAATGCAAACCCCGGGGTTCCCGCCATCACTGCAAGGCTATGGCAGAGCCATAACTCAGGGTCCTGATCCCTGCCCAGGGCTCCTTCCCCTGCCCTCTCAGGCTATAATTAGTATGTCCCAGCTCAAAAGCCACTCCCAAGGCAGAAGAGCTGGCAGCTAAAACCTGTGTTCCGTAGCCTCAGCTTGCAGTTAGGCCTTGGTACTATAATCACACAAGCACCTGCACCCTCAGCTAATGCAGATCAGGGCAGGACCCTGCCCCCCGGAACTATATTGAACCTGGGGCCTCTGCACTAAACTGTATCCTTGCCCTATTTTAATTATCTCACTAAGTTGCTGAGATGCCCAGGCTGGACTCAGACTTGCAATCCTCCTGCCTCAGGTGCCCAAACTGGGATTACAGGGTGCGCCACTACGCCTGGCCTCACCTGTGGGCCTTCCTACACAACCCTGGGCCAGCCCCAGACTCTCAACATAGGACTGGGAGGGCCTGGCGTATCGGTAACCATGGCACCCCAGGCTGGGAGGTGGCCGCTCCTCAGCCCCGGCCAACAGGTGCCCTGTCCCGCATGAAGGGAGTTCCAGTGTCCTCGGCCCTGGAGGCGCAGTGCCTCAGGGAGCTCTCTCCACTTAAGAGACAGGACCCCAGCAGGACCCAGGCGTCTGGACAAGCACCTGGCCCACCAGGCAGCCAGGCTGCCAGGGCCGCAGGTAGGGGATAGCAGTGGAGCAGGGCCGTTCACTCTCCGGAGCCAGGAACGCCAGCAGCCGTCACAGAGCTTTCACTATGCTCTCAGAACAGGCACTGCTGAAAGGCAGAGAAATGAGCTGCACATACACCCACAGGCCTCGGGCAGCCCAGGCGGGACTCCTGCCCTGTCCTCCCCAGTGTGATGGGCCACACACCACTGGCAAACTGTCTCCCACTGCGTGACACACAAAGCACGGACTCTCATTACAGCTTATTTTTTTAATAAACAAATCCCACTGTGCCACTTCCAGCAGCTAACCATTTCCCTGAGGGGGAACTTCCCCAAGGGTAATTTCCCAGGACAAGTTGACGGCCACTTAGAAGAAATTAGTTCTGTTTTTCCGACCCATGTGTACACAGCAGGTAGACCCTGAGCTGGCTGAAGAAAGCCCTGTCACTTACGCTCCCAGGGGACAGGTCTCTGCCCGTCTCTCTGTCCTCTTCTCCTCCCAAGGCTGGACCCCGCCGGGTGAGCGACAGCCACGCTCAGCTATAAGGACAGGACAGTGTTGCTCTGCACTCTACTACAAAGCCTGAGGAAGTCTGGCCCTAAACTTGTCCAGGTCAAATCTGATCAGCAGCACAGCACTGCTAATATATTCCATGCGCTCCTTTTAGAAAAGGCCTCACTGAAACCACACTCGACTCTGGGGCAAGTGGCTGTTCCAAGTGTGCTGCTTCTCACCTGTCTGCAGGTACAGGTCGCCGTTGGTCCTGATGATCCAGGCCGTGTCATCACTCAGGGCCACAAACACAGCCTGGGGCAGCGCCTCGTACCAGTGCCGCTTGCCCTTGATGGTGACTTTCCCACATGCAAAGGCACGGTTGGATTTCTGCTCAATCTTCCACAGAAGGGCTCCTGGGGAAACAGACACTCTACTCACTGCCGGATCTAAGTTCTAGTCACCTCTGAAGACCCGCATCTTGGGTCTGTAAGAGATTTCCAGTACGCACCTCTTCCACACCACTGGGCCAGAGGTCTGAGCCTCCGCCATCACCTCTCAGCTGTTCGGCTTCAGTGCCACGTACCTAGCCTCCCTGCCCCACCTTACAGGCTGATCTGCGGCTGGAGGTCCACAGAGGCACGCAACATCTGGGGCTGCCACGTCCCTCACTCTCAACCCAGGGGCACAAAAATAGCGATGATATTAGAGGTCTGAGTTGTTTTGAGACAAGGTCTCACTACTCAGGCTGGCCTGAACTTGGCATGTAGCCTAAGCTGGCCTCAAACTCACAGTGATCCTCCTGCCTCAGCTTCCTGAGTGCTGAAAGTATAGGCATGCATCACTATCCCCGCTACAAACAATGGTCTAAACAGACATACTGAGGTCCAATTAGTGCCCAAGGAGCAGCTGAAGTTCTCCCAGGAACCCAATGGCAGGACACACATGCATACAGCGCTTCTAGTCCACATGCCCCACCACACTGGAATAAAGAAAGTAGCCAACGCTACGGAAAAGCAAGCTGGGCGTGGTGAGGCACGCCTGTGATCCGGGAACTCTGACAAGCTGGGGCAGGAGGATCAGAAGTTTGAGTCCCACCTGGGGAACTCAGTGAGGTCCTGTCTCAAAATAAGGAAGGCCTGGGGATGCAGCTTGATGGTTTGATCCAGTACTATTAAAAACAAACCAAAAGAGAAAGGAAGGCAGGAAGGGAGGAAGGGATGGAGGAAAGGAAGGGAGGAAAGAAAACAAAAGGAAGCCCAAAGGAGCAAATGCTGATCTGGGACCGAAGGGAGAGTTTCAGGAAGCGCTGCTGATTCCCTGCGACACTTGGTGAGGGGTGCGCAGTCCGTGTTCCCCCTCTGCAGCTGGATGTAGATCATTCACCCAGAGCACACGGCTCACTAGACTTTGTAGAAATGAAGCCAAGCCATTGGAATGCACCTTGCATGTCCCCAGGCCTATCCTCCTGAGTTCAGGCTTCAGAGACAAGGACAAACAGAAGTGAATTTTTAGAAAACACAGTGTGTTTGAACCACTAACAACCCCCAAAATTCAAACTATTCATATGGCTTACGGAAATATCTCCATGCATTATCACAGTTAGTAACACCCTAATCTCTACACAGTCGTGATGTCACTCTGCGATGTGGAAGGAAGCAAGTCCCGGGCTCCGGATTCCACCCCGGATCCAATCAAGGGTTGCACACAGCCACAGAAGCCCAGACTGGAGCCCAGGCTGCAGGCCATAGGCAGGGAGGCCAACCTGAGGGTGACACTGCCACCTGCTGGACGGCGTCTTCGAACTTCTGCCAGCGGAGTCCGGCACCAGGCAGCGCACTGCAGAACAGGCCACCCTTGTAGTCCAGGCACCACACGTATTTCTCAGAGACCACCAGGCTGAGGATGCCGTAGCCTGGGCCAGAGTAGCCCATCCAGCTCTCTGCAAACTGACAAGGACAAGGATGCAGGTGTGAGGCCCAACGCACGGGCACGGAGCTGCACTCATCGTACGGCTGTCACTGAGAAAGGGCAGGGTTGGAATGACATGGCTGCAAAGGTCTCGAAGGAGAGGCACAGACTTGTCCCGCACTTGGCCTGCTTAGAGCCATGCGAAATGGACACTGTTGCCCCTGGGAAGACTCGTCATTTGTCACACTCTGACACCCTTCCTGAGTAACGCTCAGCATCCCATAAACAAGGACTTGGCTTTATTCACCCTGGCTCATGTGCCCTGTCTGCCAGCTTGGTGTCCCAAGGCCTGGGTCCACAAGGACAGGACCCGCTCAGCTGCCTCTGGTACTGGACGCCCCAGCACAGAGCAAGCCCGGGGGATCTGGCACTTGGGAAGCACTGGGGAAGGAGCAACGTGGGGCCAGAAGCCCAATCTGTCCTCAGGCACACAGCAGCAGCTTGGTCTCCAGAAGTCCCTCGTGGGCACAGGCCTGGGCCTGCTCTGCCCTTCTCTCACTATAGGGCTTTTGGACTCAATAACCCCTCCTGAGCCTTAGTTTCCCCTCAGCCAGGGGGAAGGAGCCCCTGGATCGTGGTCTGTTTTGCTTTAGAAGACGTGTGCTGCCCTCGAGACATGCACGGCACATCCCTGCACGCACGAGTGCTGACAAATGTCACGCTGTCAGCACGCGGAGCCCCGGGCGGTGTGGGGAACGTGGACGGCCATGGCCATATCTCACGTCCGGGTCAGCAGGAAATGTCATAATGCGGAGTTAGCTCTGAAACCGAATGCACATCATGGAAACGACATACCAAGAAGAACAGGCACCTTTAAAATTTTTTTATATAAAACAGCCCCAAATAGTCAACAGACCCCTTCTCGTTCCATGGGCTGGGCAGACACACAGGGGATTGGCCACTCACAGGTCACGGAGGGGACAGCAGCTATCACAGCCCCGGTTCTGGGCAGCTCCTTGAGGGACCTTTGCATGAGCAAGAAGCGATGCCCCCCCTGTCCACAGCACCGGCTGCTCTGCCCAGGACTCTGTGACCGACGGGCTGACCACGCACATGGGCCGAGCCTTGCTGGTCCAGAGTAAACAGCAAGGAGCTGCTTCCCATCGTAGCAGGGCTCTGAGGGGGCTCAGCTCAGGAGCCTGTACTGCAAATTCCCCCAAACCCAGACTTTAAAATGTATTCAGGCTGCAGGTTTTGCAGCAGGATTATAAAAGCTTTCCATGAGAAGGAAAATAATCAGTCTTGCCAAGAAGTCTTTAAGAAGAAAAGTAGTCTGCTACATACAATGGGGCAAGCCTATCATCTCAGCAACTCAGGAGGCTGAGGCAGGAGGATCACAACTTTGAGCCCTGTCTAGGCAACTTAGCAAGACCCTGTCTCATAAAGACTTGGGGATGTAGCTCAACGATAGAGCACCCCCAGGTTCAACCCCAAGTACTACCAAAGAAAAAAAAGAACAAAAGAAGAAAAGAACAGCAATCAGCAACTGTACACTGTTAGGGACCCCACCTGTCCACACCACACACCTGATCCGACTTGAGCAGGGTGGGGTCATCTGTCCCTGGCTGGCTCAGGTCCTGCAGGGAGCGCCCGGCTCTGAGCTCCGTGACACTCGTCTCTGAGGATGAAGATGGCAGCCCGTGGGCGTAGATGTCTTCCTCGTCGCTGGATGTCAGCGCCGGGTCCTGGGAAGGCGGCTGGAGCCAAGGCTCCCGCATGCCGGCTGCTGAGGCAGTCATGAGGGGAGCCGCCTGTCTCCCCCAACTCTCCTTACCACCTTCAGATGTGGGCATTTCCTTCTGCCCTGTATCATGGTCAGTGACAGCAGCCCAGGGGTCTGCCCTAAGGCACCCGAGGCTGTCCTGGTCTTTGCTGGCCTGCTCAGCGCCATCAGCAGCCCCAAGCCTGGGCGGCCACTGGGCTGCCCTCGAGGTCCCAAGGAGGCTGGGAGGCGCCGTGAGCGAGTCCAGGAGCAGGGGTTCTGGAGAGGGGCTCCGGGGGCCCTCGGCCTCCGTGTCCTCCTCCTTGGAGGCCTTGGCAGCGCTGTCGTGGCCCAGGTAGGGGACCTGTCCGTCACCGGGGTCAGCGTTCACAGGACCAGGCAGCTCTCCGAGTCCTCTATCATCACCGCCTTCCACACCATCCCTCGGGAGCAAGGGCAATGTCAATGTTCCAGGGAGTGGCTCTGGCTCCGGCTCCTGCACAAGGTGACACTGTGGAACTTCAGAGGCAGCGTCCACTTCTTCACCCAGTACATCGGTGTCGGGGACAGATTCCGGTGCCTCGAGGATGCTAAACGTGTCTGGGTCGTTATTTTCCAGCAAGACACCGTTCACCTCGCCGCCCCCAAGGCTGCTCTCGCCGTCAGGCGACTCTGTGCTCAGCTGGTCCACACTGCTGCCCAGGACGCTTGAGGTCACGGACAGTCGTTCTGTGCTCAGGGACTGGGGGCTGCCGCCGGGGAGCTGGGAGCAGGGTGTTGGCTCCAGGGAGCTGGCACAGGCGTGACTGCCTCCACCTTCTAATTCAAAACAACAACACTCAGGAACAAGTCCGACTACAGAAACAGCAACAGGGAACTTGGAAACAAAGTTCTGGCTCAAGAAAAAAAAATACTTTAGATGAAAGAATAAACCTCTTAAGTAAGTATAGTCCTAATGCAGGGATGTTTCCAGGACAGGAATACCACACACTGACAGGCCTCACCAAGAAATTTCAGAAGCGGGTGAGAGCAAAGCGGGGTGTTCAACCAGATCACAGGTCAATCTTTCCACATCATTTAAACGCTAAGGAATTGGTCACATGTCCCTTTAATCCTGTGGTGACCTTCAGCCAGAGAGCCATAACAGGCACGAAGAAATTCTGCGTTTAAAACTCCCCATGTTAAATCCACATCTGGTGACAAGACCAGCTGCACACCAGCACAGACCTTCTCCTGGGCCCCGCCCCACTACCCAGTCTGCAGAATCTCTGGCCTAGTTCACGGTCCCCACACAGAAGCCAACATTTTACTTTAAATACCAAAAAGAACAAAAGCCAGACCCTCTCAGCAGGGTGCATGCGCACCGATGCTTTGGGTCACTTGCACCTGCTGGAGATGCCTAGTGCGTGTGCCTGTGTTCTCTGCGGGCGTGTGGGACCCCGTGCAGGAGAGGCCTCCTGGGAGAAGTGTGTACGTGCTCTGGAAGCTGTCATCCCTTCCCTGGGGCTGCAGATGTGCACTCGAAAGAGACAGACCCACCTGTCTTCTTCTTCTTCTTCCTCCTCACCCTGATGGGCTTCACGACAAGCTCTTGCTCGAAGTCCTCGGAACTGATGGCCCTGAATCTCTGCAAGGTGGGCTGGCTGCCCTTGCTGGGATCTGGACCGCCTGGAGGCGCGGGCAGCAGCAGGCTGGAGCTGCTGTCGGTGGAGGTGAGCGAGCTGCTCCGGCTCCGGGGCTCACTGGCGGCCGAGCTGGCTACTGAGGAGCCTCTGAGCCTAGTCTCTGCAGCACCAGCCCCTGGAGGCTTCTCTGGACACTCCCCAGGGATGTGTTCGGGACATCTCACCACCTCCAGGCCGTTTCTCACTGAGAGAGGAGAGTTCGGTAAACACTGCTGCCCGAGAGAGTTGGCTACGCAGGGAGGTAGCTGGCAGAGATGGAGCCCAGCCTCTGCCCCATGAAGAACAGGCAACTCTGCGTCCACAGGCACTCAGGGTATGCACAGCTACAGCTGACCGCCTGTGGCTCTGCACTGAGGGCAGCTCGTGTGTGAGACTCAGGAAAATAACTCACTACTGCAGCTCCCTCCTGAGCCAGCAGCAAGGGGATGCCACTAAGGGTACAGTGCATATCACTTTGACTCACAAATTCTTAACTAGAAAAAGTCTGTATTACCTAGTCATATCTTACACTTCAACTATGCCTTGAATCTACCTTAATTTGACTGAGAGGGCATTTGAAAAATACTATGTACTGATAACCAAGCTTCCTGAAGTTCCAGGTAGGGTAAGCCATTTTCCGCTGGCACAGACACTGGATGAAGAAATCGATGAAGGAGATCAATGTCAACACAAGCACGGAGCACAGCCAGGGCAGCAGAACACGGGATCCTTACACCTGTCCCCGAGACCCACAGCAGGGGACACATCCCTCTCGACACACACAAAGGCCACCAGGGCATGGACACAACACAGACTACGGTACACACTGGTCACCGGCTTCCTTGCTACCCACATCATCAGGGGCCAGAACACAGATGTCAAGCAGACACAGGGACCTGGGCTCACGGCGCCAACACGCACTGGGGACAAGGGCGCAGGAGCTGCTCAGAGGCAACTTGTCTACAGCCACCCTGTCTGAGGTAGCAGCCACCAGCCACAAGCAGCATTTACATTCAGATTAATTACAAGTACACAAAATGTAAACTTCAGTTGCTCAGCTGCACCTCCAACAACAGGTGACAACCCCACAGGGGTCTGCAGACATGCAGCAGTCATCACTGCACCACGTCCTGACTGCAGTAGCCAGAGGGCTCCCCCGCACTCAAATCTGGGATTGTGTGAATTACCAACAAGAATAGGTAATTGTTCTCTGCTTGTTCAAATGAAGCTGCCACAGCTTGGCCGGTAAAATCGTCTAAGTTGAATTATAAACTGCAGGGCACCGCGCTTCCAGTTGGACACACAGCATGGTTTACAGCCAGTACGAACCTACTGACGCTAGTCCTTCAGGTCTGCTCGAAATCCTGATGATGTTCCGATCTCCCTTCAAGAAAAATATTTCATTTTCTGTGCAGGAAACAGATACAATATCACCCGATCCTTCCAAACCAGCAATGGTGACCTGTCAAAAGAGATAAATCAATAAAAACTTCAAAACCAAGTTAACAGTAACAGTTCAAAGCATAAAAAAAGCATGTGTAAGAATCCAAATAAGCAAGCGGCAGCTACACTTTGTTATGACAACTTCCTGGAAAAAAATATTCTTTTTGTTTGTTTGTTTTGTTTTTTCCAGTACCGGGAATCAAACTCACGACCTCGCACTTGCCAGGCAGGCACTGTGCCGCTCAGCTAAATCCCCAGGCCCAAAAATATTCTTTTAAGACACTGGGAATTGAACCCAAGAGTGCTGTACCTCTGAGCCACTGAGCCACACCCCGGCCCTTTTCATTCATTTGAGACAGGGCCATACTAGGTTGCCCAGGCTGGACCGTGACTTGCGACTGCCACTGTGTCAGCCTCCTGGGCAGGCAGGGTTACAGGTGTGTGCCACGCACCCAGCTCTGAAGATTGGTTTGGTTTTTAAAAATTTATTTATTTTTTATTTTAAAGGGAATAGTTTAAAAAAAAAAAGACTAATAGCAAAATACAAACAACACGAAGCAAGGACATTAAAAACGCCGTGGGGTGTCAGACTCAATGACAGGGATTAGCAGTGGTCGTCGTACCACATATTGTTATCTCCAACCAAGTTGCTCAGAGTGAAGGTTGTATTTTTGTTTTTGTGGTATGGTGGATTGCACTCAGGTCTTTGGACTGAGCCACATCCTCAGCCTTTTTTTTTTTTTGGAGACAAGGTCTTGCCAAGTTGCCTAGGTTGGGCTCAAACCTGCCATCCTTCCTCAGCCTCTCAGAGTGTTGGGACTACGGGCTCGTGCCATCGCACCCAGCTGAAAATTCTTAAGAGTAACTCAAGCCCAAGGCAGGCGCTCTCTGACAGACGCACACCTTGGCAGTGAGCTGACAGGGCCAGGTGAGCAGAGCCTCTCTCCGTGCCTCAGCCACCTGGCTCCCTACTCCTGTGAGCCAGGTCTCATCCTCCTTGGCAAGGGGCTTCTGCCATCGGTGGCTGCCTGTCATTTGCATGCCACCTGCCTGGGCAGGTCCCTGGGGACCAGTCCGTGCCTCAGCCCTGTTCCTCCTCCACGCAAGCGTCCAGCACAAGCTTTTCTCTCTGCTCAGACTCCATGCTGCTCCGTCCCTGCGGGGGCCTCCAGTGTGATCCAGATGCTACCTCCTAGGGTAGTGATTCTGGACAGTTGTTGCTTTTCATCCAGCGGTGCAGCCGAAGGACTGGTTCGCTCCATAAACTAAAGGGGCCTGCACACCCTGCTAATGTTCAGGTAGCCCAGCAGACAGCTGGAAGCAGGCCCATCTTCCCAGAGCTGGGGGAGGTGCAGACCTGCCCCTGGCTGCGCCGCTTCCTGGTCCCTGCCTGGGAACTCGGTTAATACGGGCAAAGCGCAGGGTAAGTGCACAGGTGACGCTACTAACTAGTGAGCTCCAAGGAGCCCAAGGAAAGAGAATTTACGCATCACTGGGGAAGGGTACACAAACTGCCTGCAGAGCGAGGTGATCCCCTAACCAGTGCCACCACCCTGCTGCTCTGCTCAGAAAACCAAGCTCACGCAGGTGAGGGCCAAAGGGCCAGACGGGTGAGGGTCAGTTTTCTTCTCTACTGAGCGAGTATCACCAGTCCCGGTGGACAACTGGAATTAAGGAGCTTTGGTGGGGAGCAGACGGACATCACTTTTTGCTGACGCGTGCCTGACAAGAAAACCCTTCATTCCTCCACTGCGGCTCTGCTGAGTCCTGCGGGCTCATGTGGTGGACACACAGGACTGGCCCCACAGGGAGTCGGGGGTGAGGTTGGGGATTCTGGTGAAGTGAGGCTGGCAAAAGCTTTACTCTTAGGACAAGAAACTGGAAAGAACTGCTTTGTTTAAAGTCCTAAACTGTCTCTAACAGTGACCTTTTACCATCTTGATTAAGCAGAAATTGCTTCCTACCACTTTGTAATATTCTAAGAAGTTACCCCTGGTATGTCATTAAGTTAAAAAAAAATAGTGGAAAAAAGCCCTGGCAAATCTTGTAAAAACAAGGGTAAAAGAGAGAACAGCTGGAGGGAGAGGCCCTGCCCTTCCCAGGGTCAGCGCAGGCCTGTGGGGGCCGAGGGATGGCCACACCTGAGTGCCCACTGAGTGCCACACTGTGGTTGGTATCAGGCAAAGCAGGGCTCAGGGGCCGGGGTGCTGGTGGCGGATCTCGTGCTCAGCACGGCAAGGCCCTGGGTTTCACTCCCAGCACTCGGGAGAAAGGGAGAAGGAAGAACACGGCCCCCGTGGCCCACAAGGAACAGCGCTTGCACGCAGAGCGCACACCTCCCTTCTGGGCAGGGAAAACACGACTCAATTTCAAAACCAAATTATTTTTCAAATCTACAAAATGACCCAACAAATGTTTGCTTCTTTCCCTGGAGCAGCCCAAAGGAGAGGGAAGGCACCGGAACCAGTTCTCTCCTCCCGAAGGGGCACCCTGTGGACGCAACCTCCGGCCGCCACACACCTGGCTCACGGTGTCCAGAAGGTAGATGCTGTACTCGTTCCAGCTCAGCACCCAGCCCTCCCGGAAGAAGCAGGACACCAGCCCCAGGTGCTTCTCGGTGGAGCCGCAGCCTCCCCTGTCCTCCGGCTCCAGGCGCGGGTACAGCTCAAAGGGTGTGACCCCGCCGGCAAAAACGTCCTTGAGGATGAAGGTGGCCTGCACGGTGCCGTGCACGTCGGCCTTCCACAGCCGAAGTCCGGGCCGGGACGCGTACAGGGTGAGGTCGCTCTGCTTGCACAGTCCTGGTATAAAACAAGCACCAAATTTCCCAGTACTACAATCAGAAGAAAAAAGAAAGAAAAAAGCAGGCATGGACGGATTTATAGTGATGCGGCTGCCAACTCCGGACAGTAACAACAAGAATCCAGGTAACAGGTTCCCCCCTTTCAGGCTGCTCCATTTCTGGTCACCCGACCACACTGCCGTCCCTGTGCCCAGAGGCGTGCAGGCAAGTGTGCAGCCGGGCACCTGCTGGTCTCCCGGCTGCCTCTGCGTCCCTGCCGCAGCTCCCTTGCACCTCCCCACTCTGTCTGCACCCCCACAGCTCCTGTGGCAGCATCTCAGCTTGCTTTAGACAACACGGGCAGAAGGCAGCGGCACAGGCTGGCACCACGCTCTGCTCTAAGATTCCATCCTCTGAGCTGACTGCGTGCTGCCCCCGGCGTGCTGCTCTACCCTTGCAGAGCCACAGCAACTGTCTGCACTGCTGCCCTCTCAGAACTTCCCGTGAAGCCAGAACTTCCTTTTTGGTCTCCAGGCTTGGTATCTTTTTCCTTTTTAAATTATGAAATGTCAGCTGGGTGTGGTGGCACTTGCCTATAATCCCAGCACTTGGGAGGCTGAGGCAGGAGGATCATTGCAAGTTCCAGGCCAGCATGGGCTACAAAGTGAGCTCTAAGCCAGCCTGAACTGCATAGCAAGACCTTGTCTCAAAAAGACAAAAAAAAAAGTAGTAAAAGTTATGAAGCCTAACAGGACTCCCAGGCCTGACCCACCCGCCAAAGCAGGAAGTCCTGGGCCGTCCCATGCCTGTGCTCCATGACCAGAAGCTCCCATCCATCCTGCACTGTGACCGCCAGACTCAACTGCTGTCACTCTCTTGCTCTTATTACAAGTCATCACACATCTACACAGCTCCAAACACTATATAACTTAATACAACCGTCTTTCACTTGCTAAAAAAAGTAAGCCTATCTGTATACTTTTTGTGCCTTGTTTTTTTTGTTTTGTCTTTTTTGAGACAGGGTCTTCCTATACAGTTCAGGCTGGCTTAGAGCTCACTTTGTATCCCAGGCTGGTCTCAAACTTGCAACATTCCTCCTGCCTCAGCCTCCCGAGTGCTGGAATTACAGGTGTGCACGACCACATCCGGCTGCTTTTTTCATTTAACATTGTTCGTAAGATTTATCCTTGATAAAGAGAAGCTGGAGCACTTGTTCATTTTCACCACTGTATCATATTCCACAGCATAGTCACCCTCTTGTCAAAGGGCATCTGAAATTTGACCTTTCTGTGCGATGCTGGAGATCATCCCGGGACTGCGCCCAGAGCCAGCTGCTCTCCCACTGAGTATACCGCACCCTCTCCCTGCTGTTTTTTTACTATTTTGAACAATGTGCTCTGAGCACTCTGGCACACATGTTCTAGCACACAGGTAGAGGAGTCAGCCAAAGGTTATTTCCATAGAGGGACTGCTGAGTTCTGACCAAGAGCACACTCAGGTTTAGAAAACAACTCCATGCTTTCTCTTCTGTGACTGTGCCAACCCACATGCCCCAGAAATCTGGGTCCTCAGTTCTCCGGGTCCCACATCCACGTCAATGCTTAGACACCCACCAGAATTCCAGAGAAAGAGGTTCAGTGTGGCCCTAAGCCTTGCTGATTCCTAAACTATTTCTCAGATATTTTTTCTTTCTTTTGTTTTTTTCAGATAGGATCTCGCTATGCACTTCAGGCTGGCCTTGAACTCACTAAGGAACCCAGGCTGGCCTTGAACTCGAAGCAATCCTCCTGCCTCAGCCTCTTGAGCGCTGGGGTTATAAGCATGTGCCACCACACCTGGCTATTTCTCAGATTTCTGACAGCAGCAAGAGCACTGGCTTTACAGTGAGACCTGAACACGGTACCCACCCCCCCATTTAAGAGTTACACCGTCAGGATCTCAGCCTCCCGAGACGCTTGGTGACTCCCAGCTCAAAGGCGCAAGTGTGGACTGAGAGGAAAATGTACAGAAAGCCCAGCAAGTAATGCTCCAGATCCTGCCGCCACCTGCATGGAGCTGCGTGGGCCCTGAGCAGTCACCGGGAGGCTCACGTGGCACGCATCGGGTCCCGATCCTAACCCTGCCCACACAGAGGAGGCCCCCTCCAGGCAAGGGGCTCCCTGGAGCTGGGCAGGTATTTATGGAGGTTCTCTGCATGTCATTATCTTACTAGGTCCTCGGTAACTAAATCCCTCTCGCTGGGGTCTAAGGAGGCTATCGCCTTTCAAGTTCAGCTTTGGAACAAAGATCTTTACACAGACCTACAAGGTGTTTGTTTTGTTCTGGTTGTTTCGAAGTGCTAGGAATTGAACTCAAAAGTGCACAACCACTGAGCTACACCCCTGGCCCTTTTTAAAATTTATTTTGAGACAGGGTTTCTCTAAGTTGCCCAGGCTGAGCTCCAATTTGCAACCCTCCTGCCCCAGCCTCCTGAGTGCTGGGACTGGTGACAGCTGAGCGCCAAGGCGTCCAGTCCAAGGAGGATCTGACAAGCAGCTCTAGGGACTGACAACTGCCTCCGGCGCGCTCCGTGGGACACCCACACAGTGGACCAGGGGGCATGCAGGGCCCATAGCTCTGGCCCCTCCCTCCCGCCTTTCCAGGCAAGTCAGCTTCTGCTTTGTGACTTTTAATGTTTTCAGTACTGGGAACTGAGCCCAGTCTTCGCACCTAGCCTTTTTTTACTCTGAGACATGATCTCACCAAGTTGTCCAGGCTGGGCTGGAACTTGCACTCTTCCTGCCTCAGCGGCCCAGAGTGCTGGGATTCTAGCTGGATGCCATAGTGCCTGGCTTGGGGATCCAATTTTTAAATTTTTTTTTGTTTTTTGTTTTTTTTTTTCCGGTACCAGGAATTGAACTCACGACCTTGCGCTTGCCAGGCAGGCGCTGTGCCACTGAGCTAAATCCAGAGCCCAGTGATCCAATTTTTAAATGTTTTCTTTCTAAGACCTCTGACAGGCTGGTGTTTTTCTGTCTATATTTGTTTGCCTTATGTAACTGCAACAGTGCTTGACACACTAGACTCTTTTAGTTAAGGTGGCCGAAGGCCTGCTCAGGCCACACCCGCGAGGGTTCCCCAGACCTCCCAGGGATCTGTGTAACAGGGCAGGAGGACAGGCTGGAGGAGCCACACAGGGATGGCCCGGGTGAAAGTGACTGGCTCCTCCACTCTGCACCCAGCAGACACCACAGCGAGGCACCCCAGGGAGGCCAGGACCAGCTCTAGGCGGCAGGAGCTGGGTCGGGCAGGGGTGTCAGGACTTGCCCTGCACGGCTTCCTGGTTAATTCAGAGGGTGGTTAACTTAGTGAGGCAGGGGTGTGAGAGACAGAGGCCGGGGGGGGGGGAGCGACTCTAAGGCCCAGGACTCATACAGAAAGAATAAACCACTGTGCTGCTGCTGGCACAGCACATAGGGACAGCAGGGAGCACCCGGGTGACCTCACTGCCCTGCCCTCCCCTGGCACCACCAGCCCAGCGCCTCTCCGTCCCTCTCTCTGCACTTCCCGTGCCTTGGCCCAGTGCCGCCTGCCCCATCCTTGAGGCCAAGAAAGGAGGAAACAGACAGGAGCCCCTCTGCCTACCAGCCAGCAGACGTGCTCACGCCTTGCTCCTTGTCGCTTCTGCCTTGCTCCCCAGCAGGCTGGGAGCAGAGCGCAACAGGCTGTGCTGCCTTTGTGGAGGGGTCTGCCCAGGAGGGGATACGGGCACAGGCCCCGGGGCAGAGCGCCCCTGCGGGTCCTCAAGGCACATCACCACGGGAGCACATGCTGTGACTCAGGGAAGGCTCACTGGCCACCAGACACCTCAGGAGCCGGGTAAGCAGCTGTGGCCCACAGTCGGCACACAGGACATAAAGGGACCTTACAGCCACTCTGTGCCAAGCAAGCCGAGTACTCACTAGCTCACCTCTTCCTTGCCTGTGTCCCGATCTGCCGGACAGACTTCTCCTCGGTGTAGAAGAGCAGACTTCTCTGCAGGGTGGACACCAGCAGCACCTTCTGGCTGTAATCCAGCTGCACGATGGACGCCGGCTCCTCCAGCACCAGCAGCGAGCTGCAGAGCCCCTGCAGAGAGACCAGAAGCGGCCTGTGAGCTGCCTGCTTTCCTTCAAGTCGGGGTCAGGTCAGCCCATGGCAGGGACATCTGGGAAAGCCACCCACCTCATGCCACATCAGATTTCATAAGGGTCACTTAACAGTGTGCACGATTTCTCTTAAAATGCTCTCAGCAAGTAGTTCAAAGAAGAATCCATAGATCTAAACAGAAACACACCATGCCAGGTATGCTGATTATGCCACTTTTTTACTATGCTATTATAAAACAGTGAAAGGGGGCTTTCAATCGATGACTGTGACAGTGACCAGCTCTCTTGCTACTGTCCCCTCCACAAAGAGTTCAAGGCCATCAGAGGACAACTGTGCCAGCTCAAAGGGGCACAGGAAACAGGTGATCAGAAAGAAGTCAACCTTACAGCCGGGCATGGTGGTGCACACCTGTAATCCCAGCACTCAGGAGGCTGAGGCAGGAGGATTGTTGCAAATTTGAGGCCAGCCTGGGCTACGAAGTGAGCTCAAGGCCAGCCTGCACTGCACTGCAAGACCCTGTCTCAAAAAGACCAGAAAGAAGTCAACCTGGGACTATACACATACGGTAGTATTCATATAAAATAGTTTCTCTCACACACACAGTAAATCTAGTAGGCATTTCACCACTAAATATTTTTCATGGCATCAAAAACTAGCTTCTGTAAATCACTCTTCTCCTCAAGTAGTATGTTTATTAAGAAATATTGTTGCAAGCCAGACATGCTGTTGGAGGCCTATAATCCCAGAGCTCTGGGAGGCTGAGGCAGGAGGATGACAAGTTTGAGCACAGCTTGGCAATCTAACAACTAAGATTCTGTCTCAAAATAAAAAAAAACTGGGAATGTAGCTCAGAGCGAGCCCTTTCTTAAATTTTTATTTTGAGACAGGATTTCACTGTATAGTTTGGGTTGGCTTAAACTCACTATGTAATCCAAAGCTGGTCTCAAATTTTTATCAATCCTCCTGCCTCAGCCTCCCACGTGCTGGGATTACAGGTGTGCACCACCACACCCAGCCTTTTCATTTTTTTTTTTAAATTATTTTAAAGCGTAAAAGAAGGATAACATGGTAATAGGGGGCTTACCGAATTACAGACAAAGTGGTAGGAAATTATCAATGGTTGTTGTTTTACATATTGTTATCTACAAGATAGTTTCTCAGGAATTTTCATGTTTTTAAATAGGTATTTTCATTAAAAAATTTGGTATCTATGCTAATATATAGTGGATTCATTATTTCAAATTACGATTAATATTTTAGAATTCCTCCATTTTAATTTTAGCATGGTAGAGTTGATGGATACAACCCACACGACCAACCTCTTTCGAGTCCTCTCTCTAAGAGCACCAAGAAGCCCAGCACCAAGTTAAGAGCGCCAGCAGGACTCCGCCTCGAGAGAGCCAGTGTTGGGCCCGAGGGCCCGAGAGCGCCGACCCAGGGCACGATGCCTGCTCCCAGTGCAGGGCTGCGGCCAACAGCGGGAGAGGCGGCGCTGCTGCTCCTGCTCCACCTCGGTGACACCCTTGGCTGCACCCTGCCCTGCCCTGCGCTCCCACCCGGACACTAAGGCTAAGTCTGGTGACAGTGAGTTCACCCACCTCTGCCCACAGGGAGGAGTGGAAAATGGTCCGCTTTGCTTCTGCTCACCTTTCAAACAATCAGGAATGACAACAGCTTCTTCTGTTTTGTAAGTAGTAGCAGTAACAACAGCAAAATGAAAAGTAGGTGTTTCACATAGGGGTAAGTGCTAGACATTGCCAGACACGTTAGGTAACCCCAAAACTCTGGGAGGCTGAGGCAGGGGGGTCACAAGTCTAAGCCCGGCCTGGGCAATTAGCAACTCAGTGAGTTGCAGGGGGATGCAGCTCAGGGCCAAAAAAAAAAA